CATGTGCGCTACCACTGAGCTATACCCTCCAGCCCAAGGCTGTACTATTTGAATGACACGCCAGTTGCATATAAAATCTTTACTTCAGGCTTTCTTTTTAGTCAATCTGTTTTTAGATTCTTAAAAATATAGTGATTAAAGGTGAGTTTCATATCCTCCAAAGCTTGCATGATTGTAATTATTTCTGTTTGGAGTGCTGACTTATAGTCTCTTTCTGCTTCATGGTTGTTTAACATCTGTGCAGTTTTGTTTCCTCATCTTTCTTTTTTAACAGTGTTTTGGATGAAATTCCCTTCCTTATGTCCATCTGTATGATATTGGCTTTTTCACAAGATTCCTGGTTTAATGTCATTTTTTGTCAGTATATAGTAAAATCCAGATTTTGTATTTATTTTGTTTGTTTTGGTGATGAAGTGAACAGCTGTGAATGCTCTGATTTTGTAGTTCTCTTGTCTTGTAATATCCTTAACTTTCCCCTTTTGCTTATTTTCCCCATAATTACCCAAGTACCAAAGGATGCTTCTGCCTTCCTCTTTGCCTTTTTTCTTCCGTAAAAGTCATATGTTTGAAAGACTGCACTTTTAAATCACCCCTGTCCCTTCAAAGTCTCATATTTTGTAGTCCCTTCCTTGTAGCCCCGGCTCTCATATTCCAGGACACCTTTTTGCTATTTTTAGATTTATTCTGTACTAAATCTTTCTGCTGTAGTTTTATATCACTTTTAAGCCCCTCTTCATCTTCCTTCCTCTGTATCTCTTGCAGCTTTTCTTGGTCTGTCTTTTTGCTTGCCACAAAGCCTAGTAATGGAGTGTGACAAATCTAGTGTGGGAGTTTCATGATTTTCTTTTTTTACACACAATTATTCTGAGTTTTTGGCATTCTCCATTTTAAAGTAATGATGAGGGTGTGGCTTTTATCTAATTTACATTTTCCTTCTTATTGGTTTGTATCCTCTTGGGAGAAGATATTGGGAGGAAGGCAGATAGGTGGTCAACATTGTATTCTGCTAACTTGCCTCTGATTTCTAAGGGCATTATCTTATGTAAATGTGTGTATATATACACATATAGTTAAATATACACACAAGTCTATTTTCATTCTATTCCTATAGTAGATGTCAATTGAGGTGGCTGTATGATTCACCATATCTTTTTCAATAAATATTTTGTCCATAGCTAACCTTGTGAGCAAACAAGACACTGTAGATGTCTTCTCAGGATTTCTAAATATTCTTCACCCCAAAGCAGGTTTATGAAGATGGACCAAAAACCCACAGCCACACTGCTAGAACTTGCTGCAAAGAGTCTGCTGAGTAATGAGCCTGCAGCTATCCATGTGCTGAACGAAATCCCAAGAGACCTCTTTGTTCCCTTGTTCAACGCTGCCTTCTTGGGTAGGCATAAGCAGATGCTAAAGGCAATGGTGAGGATTTGGCCTTTTTGCTGTCTCCATATTGGGTCACTGAATGCTCGAGAATCATACTATGAAATCGTGGAAGCCATGATTGATGGTCTGCAGATCCTCCCAGCCCAGAACTCTTCCTCTTGGTAAGACTATGACCACTAGAGACATAGTGAATCAGCAGGAGGGTATGCTGTAGCCTGGGGCAGGGGAATACCTAACAGTCTCCCAAAAGTAGCCAAAGGTGAATGCTGCAGATCTTTGCGGAACTCTCAGTCCAAAAGTTGGGGTCACCTTTGGGACTTCAGTGTCTTATGGAGTTGATTACAAAATAGAGGTGAGTGAGGATACAATGGATTTATTTGCCTCATGGGTGTGATTATATATAAAAAGGATGTGGGCACTGAGATAGGGAAAGATGGGAGGGAAAGAGTCTGGGGAGGGGGAGGGTATAGCTCAGTTGTAGAGCATGTGCTTAGCATGCACGAGGGCCTAGGTGCAATTCCCAGTACCTCCATTTAAAAAAGTATGGGGAAAAGAATGAAAGATGCTGAAATTGTGTGGAAAGTGTGGGAAGGACTTCTTGGTGAATGGTACATGAAGTGGAAACCAAGTCAAAGTGTTCTGTCCTTGCTTTCCATCATTGACCTCGCTGGGTTGTATTAAAATTGACTAACTCTTATATATTCTGTCTCCTCCTTTCCTTACAGGCGGCCAAAACTGAGGATCTTAGATTTAAGATACGACTTGGACTGTGGGACAACATGCTCTGAGATCAGGACCACATTCCCTTTCTGTCTTCAGTCATGCATTTACTCTCAGCACTCTATCCTTAAAATAGAAGAAGCTCAGAATAATGTCAGGTGCCTTGGGATTGGTAATTCAGCATCTAAGCCTCACTTAGCTCAGGAACCGATGGAATTAATAGTAGATATTTCCCTCAATGGTACCTTGAGAACAGAGCAGTTTCTTTCTTTACTTCTTAGTAAAGTTGAGCAGAGCTCGGGGTCCCTGCACCTCTGCTGCAGAGATTTGCAAATTGATACAGTATCTGCCCATAAAACTATCCTGCAGTTTCTGGATCTGGGATGCATTGAACACCTGGAAATTGATCAGACTTATCTGAATGAAGTTACCACTCTTTTGACTCAGGTGAACCACCTTAGTGGCCTCAGTCTTTCTAACATCCCCTTTAAATCTTATAAGGGAAGAAATTTCAGATCTTTCCTCATCTGGCTTGGGCGGCTGGACACCCTCCAGGAGCTCAGCTTGTCTTACTTCTGCCTCACAAATCAACTGTACAAACTGCTCAGGTGAGGGATGGGGAGGAACCTGGGTTCCCTGAGCACCTCGTTGTTAAGACAAAAGAGGCCATGCTTGGATATTCCTAAGCTCTTTGTAACCTATTTCTCCTTTCACCTCAGCACAGGCATGGCTTGGAGTTTGACACTAGCCAGGGGAGGGGGAGGTACCTTATAGTGAGAAGACAAGATTAGAAAGGAACTGTGATCATTAATTCATTCATTCAGTGACCACATGCAGACACTAGATAAGTTCGTAAATATATTGGTGAAAAAACTCAGTTCTTCTCCTATTGGAGTTTACAGCTCTCTAGAGAGGAAGGGGAGACATTCAGATGGAGAAACATTTTAAGCTATAGCACTAATACAGATGCCCATGGATGGGCCACAATAGTTAACATTGCCAGATAAGTTTGCTCCAGCATTCTTCCCAAGGCTTAGACCCTGAATGGAGAACATGTCATCTGGGAACTACTCAAGGAAAACCTTCACTTGGCTGCTTTCCCAGACCCATCCTCACCAAATAAGTGAACCAGATCCAACACTGATAACGTCGAATATACTAAGTGCAAACAATTTTTTCACTTAATCTTCCCTGCAACCCTGAATAATAATTACTGTTGTGCACATTTTCAAGATTAAAACCCTGTGTCTAAGAGTGAAAAAGTAAGATTTTCGGGGTCACAAATCTATAAATGTAAAGTCTGATCCCCACACCCCCATTGTTAACTACTGTTGCAAAATATATACACATTAGTTTATTTTAGAGCCTTAGATACCTATAATTCAGGGCTCTTTGCCTTCATTCTTCTAAAATAACCTTTCTTTTTTCTCTCTATAGAGTCCTGCCACCTTGGATGGATACATTGTATCTATCTTTCTGTGGCCTTTCCAACAGAGATGTCATTGTCCTGTCCCAGAGCTCTCAGGCCACCCATCTAAGGGTATTGAATCTCAGTAACAACCAGATATTCTCAGAAGTTGATGAGCCCTTCCTGACTCTGTTGGAGAAGGTCTCAGACACTCTGGAACATCTGGAGGTAAATAATTGCTTCATTACTGATTCAACTCTCTCTGCTATCCTCCCAGCCCTAAGTCTCTGTTCCAAGCTCTATTTCCTTAGCTTTGCCTTCAACCCCATTACGATGCCTGCACTCAAAAGCCTTCTGCAGCACTTGGCACCCTTGAGGAGGCTGAAGCATGTGATTTATCCTGTCCCTGTCCATTGCTACGATGAATGGAATTTTCTTGAGACTTTGGACCGGCGCAAACTTGCTGAAGCTCAGGCCCAGGTGAACGTGATGCTGAAGGAAGTACAGCGGGAGGATATGAAATGGACCTCTTGTTGTGATTGATTTCCACACAAGGTGTACAAGGTGTTGTTTCAACACTGACATGTGGCCATTTAAGCATTCATTGTTATGCCTGAAGCCCGAATTTGTAGAGACACATAGATAAAGTTCTACTGTTCCAGGAAACTGGAGTTAGGAACACTGGATATGTAACTGACCTCTATAAAAGAGGAACTTTAAAAAGGAAATAGAGAGGTTTGAAAGGTCCTCTGGATGTCTTGCCCACTGCTGTCTACATCTTCTGGTTACTAACCACAGTGTTAAGTATGTGAAATAAGCTAACCCAGTCATGACACGTCATTTCATTCTCCACACTGACTGGCCCATTTATCCATTTATGGGCACTTGACACAAGTCAGATCAGTTGAAACTCTAGATGTGGTAGTTGTTGAAGCCAATATGTTTACCATGCAAACTTGTATTTCTGATTGCCTCAGGTTGCTTCAAAGAAACCATGTGCAAGCAAAGGAAACACACTATGTCCACTATCTACTGGTACCTTCATCAACATGTTGCTGCCTGGTTTCCCAGGTCTTAGACCCCTGGCTCAGTCTTTCCTTATTCTACATGCATTCATCAAGCATCTGTTATGATTTAGGCACTGTTCCAGATGCTAAGAAAAAGTCCCTGATCTCAGTCAGAGTGTAAGATGTTTCTGTGGTTTATCATTTTCTCCACTCTTTCCTGGAGCATTTGAAAAATTATTTATCCCCCCATAGCCCAATTTTCCCCCACTCTTTCCCTCACATACTCCTCTTAAGCCATATTGACCTCTTCATGCTATTGGATAACTGCTTAGTCCTCAGGTCATGGCTTAAATGTTACCTCCTCAGATAGGTTTTCTCTTATTTCCCTATTAAAGTAGGTTTATTCTACCATTGCTCTCTCTTAATGTACCAGGTACATTACCTTCATGGTACACATTATTCCACATGCATTTGCTCCCTCTTCTCTTCCATTAGAATTGCATTGTTGAGTATGGTACACACTAACCATCTGTGGCTACTGAGCTCTAGAAATTTGACTACTTTCCAAAGTGATGTACTCTGAATGTTAAATGCACACTGTATAACCAAGAGTTAGTAAGAAACAAAGGATGTAGAATAACTAATTGATAATTTACTTGTACTGCTTATGTAATGTAATAACATGCTGCATATCCAAGACAGTAAAGGAAAAAGAATGTCAATTAAGCTGTTTATATTGTTAAAGTTGAAATGATAGCATTGTATTTCAAAGATTTAGTAAGAAAATATGTTAAAATAATTACCTGATTATATGTTTACATGTCAAAGTGGTAAACCTTTGCATTTTAAAACTTATTGAGAAAAATAATGTAAAGTTAATAGATTGTTCCTCTTGTTTACATGTTGAAATAGTAAAATAGAAAATGTCAGTGATTTGGTACAAGAAAAGAATGGAAATGTCAGTAGTTTGTGTATAGTGTTTCCTTGTTGAAATGAAAGCAGATTGCATTTTAAAGACTTAGTAAGAAAGAAGAATGTAAAGGTAATTAATGATGTTTATATCATTTCCATGTTGAAATCATAACATACACATTTCAAAGACATAGTAAAAGTTTTAAAAATTGTTTTTCTTATTACTTAGGGGTTTAAATGATAAACTGCATTTCAAAGACTTAGAGAAAATGTAACAATCAATAATTAATAAAAATAGTTAATAATTTTTTTATGATTTCCATTTTACTCCTGCATTTCTGACTTAGAAAGAAAAACATGTTAAGGTAACTAATAAGTTAATTGTATATAGTGTTTCTTTGTTGATATGATAACACATGGCATTTCAAAGACATCATAAGAAAATCAGAGTGCCTCAAGGCCACCATTACCCTGATACCAAAACCAGACAAAACACTACCAAAAAAAGAAAATTACAGGCCAATATCTTTGATGAACATAAATGCAGAAATCCTCAATGAAACACTACCAAAGCAAATGCAGCAATACATAAAAGGGTCATAAACCATGATCAAGTTCCATTTATTCCAGGGTCACAAGAATGGTTCATTATTTACAACTCAAATCAATGTGACACACCACATTAACAAAAGGAAAGATAGAAATCCCATGACTATCTTAATAGACACAGGAGAAGCATTTGATACAATTCAACATCCATTCATGATGAAAACTCATTGAAGGGCGTAAAGAGGGAACATGTCTCGGCATAGTGAAGGCCACTTACCAACACTCATGGCCAACATACTCAGAGGTGAAAAGTTAAAAGCCTTCCTGCAGAATTCAGGAATAAGAAAAGGATGCCCAGTCTCACAACTCCCATTTAATATTATATTGGGTATCCTAGACACAGCAATCAGATGGAATAAGAAATAAAACATACCCAAGTTGGAAGGGAAGAGATAAAACTGTCACTCTGCAGATGACATGATACTTTGTATAGAAAACCATAAAGCCTCCACCCAAAAACTTAAAACTGATGAATGAATTCAGCAAAATTTCAGGACACTAGATTAATATGCAGAAATCTGTTGCATTTCTATACACCAATAATGAAATATCACAAACACAATGTTAAAAAGGAAATCCTATTAAAATCCCATCAAAAAGAATAAGATACCTAGGAATAAACTTAACTAAGGAGGGAGGCAGAGGCCAAGATGGCAGAGTAGAAGGACGCTCGTAGCTCACCCTCTCCCATAAATACACCAAGACTCACATCCACAGAACCACTCAGCCAACCAGAGCACCTGTGGAACTCCAACAGAACATCGTCCTCTTCAAAAGACAGAGATGCCAAAAATCTGGTAGGAGAAAAGGAAAAAAGAAGAAAAGGCAAAACAGACCGGGACGGGTTCCGCAGGGAGGGAGCGGCAAAGGAGGACTGGTGCACGTTCACGGGGTCTCCCCCTCCAACTGAGAGGCCAGCGGGATGGAGGGGGAGCCTCCGAGGCTCGGATCTGTACAGAGCAGCCCTTGACTGACAAAACTAAGTTAAACAGGCACAGAGGGTCCCCGCAACACCCAGCCTGAGATGCAGCCCAGCAGCTGGGGGCAGGGCCAGGCTTCCCGAGATTGGAGGAGGACCAGGACAGCTGCACTGAGGCAGCCCGGGGGGACTGCAGGGGGCTGCGTGCTGTGGCTGTGGGTGCACAGGGCAGAACAACCCAGGCCATCCATAAAACAACATGGCTGATGTGCCCTGGGGGGAAGGGTGCATACCCCCATCTCTGAAAACCCGTGGAAAGTTTTCGGGTGAAGAGAGGTGGGGCTCAAGCACAGCCGCCATATCCTCCGGCGCTTAGCACCCAGGTGGGGGCGGAGGCGAAAACTGCATCCGCACCTAAGGACTAAGCAGCCTCAAGGGCCAGACGGAGACTTGTCTACAGCCCGAGGCAGATAGGATCCTTCCGTACTGGTCCCTCAGAGAACTTGCTCTGCCAAGACAAACAAGGAGCTGGATTTTGGCTCGGAGCAGGGACAGGGCTGTTCCTTGGTCTTCCCTGAGCCGGCCTGTGGAGCGCCAACCCGAGGCGGAGCACACAGTGGCAGAAAGCACCAGAGCGACTGGTGCTGGGAGAGGGCGGGCGGCCCCCTGCCTTCCTGGCAGGAACGCAGCCCCTGACCGTGGTGATGGGAGGGGGCGCGACCCCCCCTCCCACCTGCCAGTCTGCAACATCTGACTGCGGCATCCGGAGGCACAGTGACCCGCCCGCCCACAACAAAGGAGAGCTGCACCTGATCCAGTGTTGGGTAGAGGTGCGATCTGCTTGCTGACAGGCACTGGGAGCAGCACAGACGAGGGCGCCAATGGAGAGCCTCTGGAAACAGCAAGCTGAGCTTCCAAAACAGGACGAAGATAGAAAGACTTCACATTAAAAGCACACAGTCTCCAGGAGAACACCGACCGCCCCTCCCCCCTTTTTTTAAAATCTGTTTTTACCTCTTCTATTTTCTATTACACTTTTAATTTTTACTTCTTAAACAATTATATATATCCCCAGTTTTAATCCCTTTTAAATTGTTAAAAATTATTTTATTACTATTATTTTTTAAAATTCTGCTTCAACTTGCTCTTCTATTATTCATTGTACACTATTTTCAAACCTTTTTTCTCCCTTCTTTTAAAATTCTTTCTCTCTCTCTCTTCTTTTTTTTCTTTTCTAAGTCTTATTCCTACATAGGCATTAGATAGATAAACTCCTTAAGGACCACTATC